AAAGTGGAAAAGTTACACATTGCGGATTTATGGACAAAACTTTACAACCGTAAAACACCATCCCCTCTGTAACATTTCTTTCATCATTACAACTGACTATATATGATAACCCTCTTAGGTCCGGATCGCTGGTGGATCAAATGATAAAGAACATGGAGGAGTACACGAACGGACTTGAGGAGCTGGTGAAACGACGTACAGGGTTGCTGGAAGAAGCTCAGAAAAAATCTGATGAGCTTTTGTCCGAGTTATTACCAAAGTAGGTAATTTTTCCTCCAACCCTCTGGAGAAATTAGGGAAGGCACAACGTGTTTCACAATTTGTATTCTCATGTAATTCGATTTCAGATCTGTAGCCGAGGAGCTCAAAGTGGGACGACGAGTTGATGCAAAGAATTACAAATCGGCTTCTATTTTATATTCTGACATTGTCGGATTCACATCCCTTTGTTCCGAATCAGAACCGATGGAGGTCACCTAGCTTAATTTCCTGCCTCAGTCACCAAGCACCTAATACTAAGAACGTTTTAGGTGGTGGCACTTTTGAGTGGAATGTTCCAGAAATTTGATCACATCATAAGTGTCCACAATGGATACAAGGTTCGGCTAATACACGTTTCCAAATTGAAGGAAATACAAATCAGTTACAGATGGAGACTATTGGTGATGCGTACTGTGTTGCTTCCGGAGTTCCAAACCCTAGCAAAACTGAGCACGTTTCGAATATCGCGACCATTGCCCTTTTGCAAAGAGAGGTGTGTTTTATCAATAATTTCCGTCAAACTGACATAATATTAGAAGAAAAAGAATTCTTTGTTCGAAAAGCATCCAAAAATGATGTACTGTTGTGCGGTACTTAATTTTTAACAAACGTGGTGCGAAAATTTTTAGAAGAAAAGGTGTAACGTCAGCCACAACTTCCGAAAAATGTCCAAGATGTTTGGTACTTTGTGCCTGATTTTGACTCTTCTGAAAATAGGGCAGCAGCACCCCGAAAAAAATT